ACCACCCTACGGAGACCACCCTGTGGAGAACCACCCCCTCCATAGAGACCACCCCATGAGGACCACCCCCAACTCCACCCAGCCCCACGCCCACCTTAATGAGGTCCCCGAGGAGCTTGTTGGCCTCGGCGTAGGCTTTCTTGACCTCCTTGAACTTGTGGCCCAGCCCCATGGCGTGGGCCTGGAAGTGGAGGTTGGTGTATTGTCCCCCCGGGATCTCGTTCTCGTAGACGTCCGCGTTGCCTGACTTCATGGTGGCCGTGCAGTCGAAGGCGGCGTAGAGCCCCCGCGCCCCCTCCCAGTACTCGCTGTACTCGAACACCCGCTCCAGTGCGATGCCTGCGGCGGGGGGGGGAGGGAGAGGTGGGGCGTGGGTAGGGGGCACCCATGGACCCCGTGGGGACACCGTGGTGAGGGGTGGCCACGGGTTGGAGGCCACTGTGGTTGAGGGACACCATGGATTGGGCATCATGTTGTGGTTGAGGTGGCATCACCGTGGCCGTAGCGCTATTGCCGTGACCACGGTGGCATCATCATGGCCATGGGTCCATCACCACGGCCGTGGTGACACCATCATGACCACGGTGGCGTCACCACGGCCATAGTACCATTACTGTGACCATGGTGGCATCACCATGACAATGGCCATAGTGCCATTGCCACAACCACAGTGCCATTAGCGTGACCACGGTGGCCAAGACCATGGCAGCACCTCCACGATACACATTGCCACCTCCATGATCACACTGCCATTACCAAGACTATGGTGGCAGCTCCACAATGATGATGGCACCTCCAAGACCATGGTGGCATTGCCAAGACCATGGTGGAACCTCCATAACTAAGTCACCAGGTCCAGGACCACTTTGCCGTTACCAAGACCATGGTGGCACCTCCATGAGCATGTTGCCATTGCCAAGACCATGGTGGCACCTCCATGACCCTGTTGTCATTGCCAAGACCATGGTGGCACCTCCATGACCATGCCACCACCTCTATGACCATGGTGGCACCTCCATGACTATCTTGCCATTGCCAAAACCACGTTGCCACCTCCATAATTATGTCACCACCTCCATGACCACGTTGCCATTGCCAAGACCATGGTGGCACCTCCATGAGCATGTTGCCATTGCCAAGACCATGGTGGCACCTCCATGACCATGCCACCACCTCTATGACCATGGTGGCACCTCCATGAGCATGTTGCCATTGCCAAGACCATGGTGGCACCTCCATGACCATGCCACCACCTCTATGACCATGGTGGCACCTCCATGACTATCTTGCCATTGCCAAAACCACGTTGCCACCTCCATAACTATGTCACCACCACCATGACCACGTTGCCGTTACCAAGACCATGGTGGCACCTCCATAACTACATCACCACCTCCATGACCATGTTGTCATTGCCAAGACCACGGTGGCACCTCCATGACCACGTCACCACCTCTATGACCATGGTGGCACCTCCATGACTATCTTGCCATTGCCAAGACCACGTTGCCACCTCCATAACTATGTCACCACCACCATGACCACGTTGCCGTTACCAAGACCATGGTGGCACCTCCACAGGGGCGCCCATACCTGTGTCGAGGGGGGTGCCGCGGGCGCAGGCCACCAAGGCGCCCATGCTGGGTTGGGAGGTCATGCCGGCCATGGCGTCCACGGCCACGTCCACCACGTCGGCGCCGGCGTTGGCGGCCGCCAGCATGGAGGCGACGGCGGCCCCGGCGGTGTCGTGGGTGTGGACGTGCAGCGGCACCTCGGGGAACTGCTCCCGTAGGGCCCCCACCAGCAACCGGGCGGCCGCCGGCGTCAGCAGCCCCGCCATGTCCTGGAGGGGGGACACACAGGGGACGTGGGGGGGTTTGGGGACCCCCAAGACTCTGCCCCATCCTGATCCCCCCCCACCCCTGGCAGCTGCCCCACTGCGTCTTGGGGGTGTGGGGGTGCCCCGGTCCCTGCCCAGACCCCCAGAATCCCCAAATCCC